ATCCCTCTTTGTACTCCCTCTCAGCAAAAAGTGGAAAATAGCACAAGTCATCTTTATCCAAAGCCTCCTTTTCTCCATCAACCATCAGTTGCCCTCTCTCTAGCTGAGAATGCACCCGTCTGAGCTCTTTGTTCTTCTCGTCAATAATTTCTAACGTTTTATCAAGTTCCTTTTTCAAGAGATCTTTCATTTCAAAGGCCCTTCTTATGAGTTCCCGGCGTTCGGATTCGGAAAGAAGAGAGTAGCACTTTACGATGCTGGGACCACGACTTAAAACTGTGTCGTTTCTTGACAATCTGAAAGACAATTTTTGCCGGAATTCAGCGATCAACATTTATTTCCTGAAGCCATAGGGCGAGAAAAAATTCCCTAGATTCAGATGAGTTTGATTCATGGATAACACTACAACGGAACATTCAATAATGAACAAAAGACGTAAGTAAATTAAGTACAATTAACACTCCATAATTTTAATTAAGGGTTAAAATCCCGGAAAATTTGTTTTTTTCTATCGGGGGGACTCACACTTTCACACGAGCTTAAAAATCATCGCGCCAAACTGTCTAGTTTTGTGCGACCATCAGACTTATTAATCTAAAGAACACTGCACTGTCCATTACAAACTTTAGACAGCTTTCAAGGTTATGGCTTCAAGTGTCGTCTACAATTGTTATGTAAATGTCCTAGTATCTTATCAGTTATATTAGATGTGTTAGTTCATCAACAAAATAAATAATTTTGCCTTTAAGATGTAAAATGGAATTATTAAGCGCCTCTCTTCATAAATCTTCCCCTCGCGAATACAAAAACACTCGAAGCTGTTTTTCGCGTGACAACTGGCAAGTCACATCAAGCGCAGCTGGCTGTTGTAAATCTAACATGCTGCCAACCTTTGTTCTCATTCTATGTTTGATAAGAGCTTATTCCCTGCTCATTCTAAAAATACTTACTGCGATCCCAAACTATCGCCACTTGAATGCTCTTCGCGTGATTTTGACGGGAAGAATTTATCATCTTTGTCATTTTCTTCCTCAGCGTCAGAATAATCCTCGTCGTCGAAAACCGGTTGGGTGCATTCAACCTGGTAATTCGGCAACTCCACCACATCGCATTCCTCTTCTTCATATTTTCCGGCCTCCACGTTGTTATTTTCATAATCTTCTAGTTTTGTATCTGTCGGATGCCAGAATTCTGCAAAGTGGATCAAATCTATTTCGTTGCACTCCAGACCATGTTTACAGACCAGAAGTTGCTCATTTCCCGCGTCGGGCGCGCGTTCTGCCCGATCGCCACGATTATCGGTGTTGCTTCTCTCAGAATCCGAAAATTCGTCTGAGATGATAAATTTCTCATCAGCCACGCCATTTTTCATAGATTTTTTGTCCGTTTTAAGGCGCTTTACCTCGGGCTCCATTCCAAGCTGCGACAGACAGAAAACAAACATGAGAGTAAGGTTAAGTACTAATCACCAGGCTCTTAACAACATTTACGGAAAAGATGGCGGACGAACTACACTGAAAGACCCCAAAGTTTGTTTAGGTTATTTTCACCCTTCCAATGTCTTTTCCCACTCCGTCGTTTTCGCATCTTAATCAAGAAGATTACCAGCATGTTTATGAGCCTGCAGAAGATACATTTCTTATGATGGATGCTTTGGAGAAAGACGCAGATTTCTTGAGAGCACAAAGGCAAAGAATTTTTGCTTGATTCCAGTGAAATCTCTGGCAGACACAACCAGAATTTATCTAAACTTTGATTAACTTCCATTGTTTTCTTCACAGGCCACTTTTATGCGTGGAGGTTGGCAGTGGATCCGGTGCCCTAATAACTTTTTTGGCTTCCATTATCGGATCCCTCACCCACTACGTGTGAGTTTTGTTTACTGTACAAGGATTACTGTACAAGGATCGACCAGTGGGGCCGCGAGAGTCTCATTCAGGCTTTATGATGGTACTGAAGTGCAAGTGAAGAAACATTTACGACCTCCCCCCACCCATAAGAAGTTTCGCTTTAGTGCCCCCCCCCCCCACCCGCTTTTAAGTCCGCTCATTTAACAGTTCTTTTAAAATTGTGGTATTTTTAATGGCGCAATGTTACAGTTGTATACTTAGTTGTCAAGCCTTTGATTTGGAGTAAGGCTGAAGGTGACCATGTTGTGATAGAGACTAGTATTTAGTAAGCATGATAGCAAAGTAATTTACCTTTGAAAAGTAGCGATGTTTGCATCATAACAAGGTCATCATTAGCCTCACCCCTGTTCAAAGGATTATTCAACAATATTTTCTCTGCCATCGGCGAATAATCATTACATATTGCCCCCTGCTTTGAAATCCTTCCTACATCAATATTCAGAAAACTAAAAATTAAACCAAAACAAAAATGCCAGACTAATAGAACAACAGAGCCTAGAAATATGAAGGTGAGAAAAAAGAATATTTTCACAGGTTGTCACAGTAAGGTTAACCATAAATATTGCTTGAAACAAATGCCAAGGAAAGTAATTTGCTAAAATATAAACCTATTTCTGGCTCAAAAATGTACTTAAAACTATTAATTACCTAAATAAAATTGGGAGATAGTCTTCTAGGGGATCAATGCAATATCATATCCCATTGATCAGCCATCTCTAAGATATGGAGAAGTTGTATGTTTATAGAGTAATTACATTATTTTGTTGTACTGTTTATTTTGGATACCTTCAAAATCAGGAATACTTTTGGCTATTGTAATTGTTCCAGAGCTACTGACATAAACCCCATGGCTGCTCAATGCACATCACAAATGGCAAAGCAGAATGGAGTGAAAGTTAGTTGTGTTGTAACAGATTTGGTAAGTTTTAGTGCAGTTGTGAGGAAAAAAAATATGGTTCAGAGTTTTGGACGAACATTTTAACTCATTTTTTGTAGTTCTCCTTGTTGGCATTGAGTCAGATTTCACTTGCCAAAATAATTCATATCTTATGATTAATGAGTTTCTTCTTTCTTTACAAGTTTTGTGAAAGATTTTATTGTTTTTCTTACTTTATTAGTTTGACTGGCCCTCCCCAGTAAAATAAATTAAATATTACAGACTGAAAGTTTTTTTTATAGACATGTGTAAGATTTCAGGTACTTATAAATGCCCTCTGATTTCATTAAAAAAGAATGACTAAGCAAACTAACAAATTGTTAGTAAACTTTTTATCAAACTTACTTTTTTCAGGGAAATTTGTTCAACAGCCTTCCCTTGACATCACATAAAACTATTTTCTACTTCACAGGTTGAAGGCCTTATTCCAAATATTTTTGGAAAAGTTGATGTATTGATCTTCAACCCACCCTATGTTGTCACTGCTTCTGATGAGGTATTAGCAGGCTCCTTTGATATCAATATTTCCTAATGATGTAAATTTTTTGATTCCATATGATAAATTTTATATTTTGTCTTTTTGTTCTTACAAGGTTGGCAGTCATAGCATTGAAGCTTCCTGGGCGGGTGGAGACAGAGGAAGAGAGGTACCTGTCATTGCTGGATGACAATTAAACTCGGCTGGTCCATTTTAGACAACTTTATTTGCAGGTTTAACACTCACAACAACACTGCTTTTATTGCTCATGTTATTGCAAACTCAACTCATCTCATCTCACAAATGCACAGGCAGCCCCTAGCAACAAGCTGGCCTGTCATTCGTAACATAACAACGCGACTAAAAATGAAAGTACAGGAAGTGGGAGGGACAGAGGTACCTATATATCATAAGAATCCTTTTTGTGACCAGTGTCTAATTTCTCCTTACAGTAATACTGCTGAATAAGTTATTGAGATCACGAGAATAAAGGAAATGATCACCAACTTAAGAAACTTTGATTGTTAAACAAATTCTCCTTGTCAGCATCAAAGGAAATGTAGAGAGAACAGTATGGAGAATATGCAAACTGATGTTAGGGTGTAAAGGGTTAAATTTGCAATGTGGAACATCTCTGTGTGATTTCCTAACACTTCTGCTGCCCGCAAGATCTTGAAAACAGTCTTCCTCACTGTGTGCCATGCATTTCTGAAAATTAAGCTAGGAGAATTTTTTTGTTGTTGTTCTAGCAGGCCTTTCTGCTTGAAAATGTATTGACAACTTTATTCGCGGGTTTTACACTCACAACAACACTGCTTTTACCGCCCACGTTATTACAAACTCAACTTATCTCATCTCACACATGCGGCCCTCAGCAACGAGCTGGCCTGTCATTCGTAACATAGCAACGTGGTTAGAAATGAAAGTGCAGGAAGCGGTGGACATTGATGGACAAATGACTCTTTGGTTATACATACAGTTATATAATAACTAAGTTATTCTTGGGACTAAGTATTGAGAACGATAACACATTCCCTAAAATTCCCTTTAAGTCCCTAAACAAATCACTCTAATTAGCTGGAGTCTTTTGATAGTAACTTTTACTTTGTGAAAGACCAGACAACTGTCTTAAGTTTTATTTTCTTGAAATATTTTGCGTTTTGTTTTTAAGCCCCTGTAAGCTACTATGTCACATATTTCAATTCCACAGACATTTAGAGATGTCACACGAATAAGGAGGCTCTCTGCAAGCCTTAAATGATACAACAGTTCACTAGTCATGAAATCACATTAATGTGTTTTTGTGTCAATTTAGGTTATGGATCGTCTTTTCCCGTTTGTATCCACTCTTTTGTCCAACACAGGATGTTTTTATCTTGTTACTGTGGCAGAAAATAAACCAGGTAAGAGCGGAATAGTGTATATCCGATTCATGTAGCGGTATTTTACGATTTTCTGTTAAAAATTATCAATTTTAAACGTCAACTTTTTTCTAAATTCACAATTTTTGAAGACATGAAGCATGCCAATAGAGCAATTTTCAATTAATTTTCGAAAGCAATCCGGGCTGCCATGGTTTTGCTCGTCTTTGCTCTGTGATTGGTCCAGAAAACTCACGCCACCTTTTCGACCAATCAGGAGCCGAACTGAAACCAATCGCGACTTGGTCACTTGCGTTTTTCCCGCATTTAATAAGTTTTCTTGTTTTTACTCTGAGTTTTCAATGGCTCCTTTTGATATCTTGTATCGCTCCGCGCTCCGATTGGCCGCCGTGATAACTTTGGTTTTAGGTTTACGACACTCAATTGAATACGCGCTAAAAGCACAGGTCCTTATTATACTTGTTCTTGGTGAGTATTCTCCGTCGGCAGTTTCTTTGAGATGATATTATTTCGCGATACAGTTTCGATGGAGATGATATTTCTGCTTGGTCAGTCACGTTGTAGAGCACCGGACTGCCGTGCGGAAGGTCGAGAGTTTAAGCTCTAGATCGGACCAACACTCAGGGTCTTAACATAACTGAGGAGAATGTGCTGCCTTTGCTATGGTCCCATATCCTGTATCTTCCATGTACTGGTTTACGTGAGATGTTAAAGAGCCAATGCAGTTCTCGCAAAGAGAGGGGAACTTAGCTCCCGCTGTTGTGTTCTGACCCTGTTATTGCGTGAACAAAGAATAATCTCCACATCACTAGTTCCTTGGGGTTTCTTTAAAATTCATTCGTGTTACTTTTCTTTTCACTTTCTTCAGACGAGGTCATAAGTATTATGGAGTCCCAAGGCTTATGTGGTGAAGTTTTAATGAAAAGAAAAGCAGGAAGAGAGAGACTCTCTATTCTAAAATTTACTAAAGACTTCAAGAAGAACAGCCCAGTCAGATGACAAGAGTGAATTTTTCTGATCATGTTTCTCAGTATCGAACGGATTAAAGGGCAATCAGTGCACAGTTCAATTCTGAAATAACTTACAGAGATACCGTGTTCTCAATGTCTTAGAAAATCATGATGAAAGCTGACGTGTGTCGGGCCGAACGCGTTGACGTGAGCCGGCCCAGAAAAAGCAGTCCAGCTTTGCGCTCACACGGCTCTTTTGCGTTTCCCTTAAAAGTGGGTTGAAATTGTGGACTTATTTGAAAAATAAAATAGATAAGAAAATGACTCACAGTTCTCGATGAAGTAAGAGTTTCTTGATCTGACTTGAAGAAAAAAAGGAAAAGGGTTTTTACTGTGTAATTTTTTAGTAGTTATCCAGCGCACGCCTCGGGTGGTATAAACCAAACATTTTCGCGCGCGCTGATTGGCTAATTCGGAAGTGATTGACAAATTTTGTTCACCTCCGACGAGTCGCGCGTCAAGAATTTAATTTCCGACCACTTTGTGGAATATTGACAGAAATAGCTAATTTCTTGATTTCTGTGAGACATATACTAAAACAATTATCCACCTCAGAGTCGGTGAAAGAAGTGGATATTTGCCCAGTCTCAGTCCTTCGCTGCTCGGTAAATATCCACCATTATTGACCTCCCTTTCAGTTGATAATTGTTATACATATCACGTTTCGCTTCCTTCGCAGTAGTGAATTGAATAAACTGATATCAAACAAACTAACCTAATTGTTGGATTTACTTGTTCACATAACAACGGCGTTATCAAGGCCTCGGTGTGCCTAAGTTACTCGCTCGGACAGTTTTCGACCTGTATCTTCGTGTCACGTGGAACCCGAAAACTCTCGGACAAATAGTTGTGACGCTATTGAGAGAGTGGTCGCACAGTAACGACACTGACCGTTCTTGGAGGAAAAACAATCACTTCAATCTTTTTGCGTTGCGGTTTTCAATCAATGCGGTTAAGAAAAGACTTACAAGGAGCTTTTGAAGTCTCCCAATGCTAATGGCAGGTTGCCGAACGCTTTTGCTTTCTGCAGTAAAAGGAAACATGAGATTTTTGAAACAACGTTCAACAGAACTGGAAGATTTTAACGCTCTCTGAATTATGTTAAACAAGACCATGTATAATAGGAAAGTCCTCAGTTTTGTTCAACCTTCTGTTCGTGTTATTTACCTCACGTAAGGTTTATCTCATTAAACTGTACGTGGTCGCCAAGTCATGCCGGTAAACGAGACTGAATTGCAAATTACTCACGAAAGGCCAAGGTGATTGTTTGGCGCCCTGCAGAACAGATCTAATTTACTTCCTGTTTTCAATCGAAAGGAGGCAAGCGTGAGGCGTGTGCAAAGTGTAAGTCGTGCGCGATAGGAGGAGCGCACAAAAAAAAAAAAACGCCTGTACGCTCATCATTATTAAAGCTGTTTCAGAATTGCTGTTTTTTTAGCAGTTATTTTCGCTTTAAATTAAACACTCACCGCTTTTGCATTTATTTTTGAATGCGTTTCGGTGATCAACGAAAGAGATGAGTGAATTAAGAAAACACTGTAACTTTACATTAAATAGCTGAAAAGAAGCTCTGGAGTTTATGTATGTGATGCCGTCGAATTAACAACCTGGTTAATTCAAATTTTACCTTGTTAAATTATTAAAATATGATGTCTTCCATTTATCTTGTGTTTCGTTTTGTCTACCACTCGCTTGTGGTAAATTATTTTTTTAATATGAATATGTTTCTAGTTTTAATTTACATGAATATTGAACAGTACTTATTTCATCTTTTATTGTTTGTTGTTTTGCCCAGTGTTTGTTGAGCTTTGCGACAGCAAACATTACTTTTTGGGTTTTTTGCTTTAATTCATGTGGTTGATTAACCATATAAAGTTAAAATATTTGTAGGTCTTGCGGCATTACGAGCAAAGTAATTGGGTTCTCATGCTAGATGAGAAAATTAGTTTTGTTCTATCCATCTGTTTTTTGAACTTCAACTCGCTGTCTTATAATTGTCGCAGCCGGACGAATTTCAGGTAAGGTTCATTCATTTTTATCTTTTATCTAAAACGTATTTGTAAGTTTAATCAAGAGTTGGCGTATTGAAATGATGTGTTGAAATTAAGCTTGAAGTCGCTACCATTAGCCCAAGCGGATATCACAGAAACTGCACGATTGTCTATCGAAAATTAGGTCGCTTTTTCCCGTAGAAGGCATATGTAGAAATTTTCGTGCGATTTGAAATAATCAGGTCATTGTTTCGGACAATGAGAAATTTTCCAGGAAAAGGGAAACCGATGCTTTTAGTATGATAAAGCGAAATTCTTCCATACAACCAACCATTGTCATAGTTTCAAGAGAGCTGGGAATTTTATTTTTTTCAGCGGTCGGTTAAGACCAGTTTGTGACCTGTGAAGTTAAACAATTTCTCTTTGTTATGGCGTTAAAAAAGCTGGGAAGACCACCAATTTTTGAGTCATATCTGGTAACAAAGAGAGCTGACTTTCATTGACAAAACGTTGAAGTTTATCAGAGTAGACAAACATTACAACATAAAACCAGGCGGATTACAGTAAAAATATTTACGATAAATTCTCATTGTAGAGAAAGAAAAGAAACACATAACAGAAGATATAGAGAGCCATTTTTATCATTTCTCCTTAACCAAACTTTCTTCAATTCTGCTTCAAAACTATAGATCTTTAAAGTTATTACTTTTTTCTAATGACATTCACCTCGTTTGTGGAATTGTGGTTTTTGTTTTTAAATTTTCATAATTGGAAATCCCTAAGCTCAGAGAGTGGTTTACTGCAGCCTGGTAATCACTTAATAATTTATTTCAGATCCAAAACGTATTGTTTATTTTTTTACCGTCTCGTTTTACAAAAAAAAATTGATCTCATGCCGTAAGGCTATTCAATTAAAATCCACCGTCTGTCTGACCACCAAAAAAAAAAAAGATGGTATACGGGAAACATTAAAACAACCAAAGAGTGTATGTATTATAAAAGCAAGATATTCAACCCAATTTTCGAAAAAAATTTGTTTCCTGGTATTGTTTGTTTTAATGAATTTTCGCACAAGAAATTACCACATCTGATCAGTGTGGGACTAGGTAACCAAATTAAAAGGTAGTTAAAATATGTATGAGTGCAGTTTTGAAGTTGGAAAAACGGTACAAGAAAAGTCATAACAAAATGATTTTGTCGTTAAAAATGTTGGTAAGAGATGAAGTTTTGTTTTGTTTTGTTTTAGTACTAAGTCATTTGAATCATCGAATTTCCTTGCAACGGAAAGTGTTCCCGAGGTAGAATAATTTTCCTAATTCTAATAACTACCGTTCAGTATTTTGAGGTAAAATACACCACGAGTATTGTATGTTAAAAAAAAAGACTACTTTGGAACTGGCTTTATGTTTGATTCCGGTTTTAAATGAATTAGGATGTTCTGCAAATTTCCTCCAATTTCCCGATTAAATTCACTCAAAACATGGCAAACAGAGTAAATTGAAAAAGTCGCAACCGAAAGAGTTTCATTAACACATTTCATGTCGATGATTAAGGAGACTTGAGAGGGGAAGACTGGATCCACATCAATGTATCTTACAAGTGGTTTTACCCCTAAATTTGAGAACAACAATGGCGGGCGTTAATCAAATGAAAATTTGCATTCTTATTTGTTTTCAAAAACTAAATGAGCCTATCCCTGGTTTTTCTAATCATCGCTATTTCCTAAATGTCACCTCGATTTATTCCGTATAAGGCGATTTTCAATTAAACTTCGCTCTGTGATTGGTGCAGAAACTCGATACCCGCCGTCTTTACACAGAATTATAAATTCGATCAAGAAAAGGTTAAGAAAATTTGTGCATGGAATTTTACCAAAATAACAAAAAATTTTTGTACAAGGCCATTATCTCTAATCGTTTGTTTCTCGCCAGAAATTATTTCAAAATCATTACCGAGCTAGCTAACTTTGAGTTCTAAGGGGAAATGCATAATTTATTGGTATATCTTTACAGAGGGTGGATAATTTTGTACGCTGTACAGACCTAAAGATAACCATACCGCTGGAAACCAAACGGTCTACCGGAAGCGGAACTGGACAACATGGCAAGTGACTTCCAGTCAACCGTATGCATTTCAGGCGCAGTATTGATGTTGTTATTTTCTCTTATGGCAGTGGTACTGAATAGTTGTCTTCTGATTGTGTTGTACAAAGACCGAACTAAATCACTCAAGTCAACAACTTTACTTTATGTCACAAGCCTGGCTATTCTGCATCTGCTGTTTGGAAGCGTAGTCAGTACAGCGGCAGCAGAAAGCTACATAACTTGCGCACAGGATATCGAAGATACCGCTCACTCTATGAGCGCTTTTTCAAGAATATCCTTCTCATTGTTGATCCGCACAGAAAACTATGTTATGCTCGCATTTTCGGTGGAGAGACTGGGAAATATTTCTTATCCAGTTTTCCATCCTCGTGCAGATAAAATGAAAAATACTCTGATAGGTTTGGCAAGCATTGTCGTCTACTCTGTGGGCTTTTCAATTTTCGAGATAGCTGCCGCTCAGCGGTGGATACGAAAGTTAGATTTACATTTCAACGTGGTTATTCCACTCGCCGCCACGATTACATTAACAGCACTGCTTTACAAAGCGTTGAGGAGATTTAATGGCCTATATGCGGAACAAGACCCCCGTGATAGTTCCTCTGGAAAAAAATCAAGATGCAGAACAAGACTCAAAAAACAAATACTCCTGTCGAGCGCGTTTATATTTGTGGTACTCCTTTTTGCCATTTCTTTGTTGCCAAATTGGAATTTACTATTGTACGAGGTTTACTGCTCAAATTGTGCACAACATGATTGGTTTTTCGCAGCCTTTCGGTTGTGCGTCGCATTCACCTTCCTTCGTACTGCACTGACGCCTTCCATCTATTACATTCGTATTCCTGAGTTTCGAAAAGGAGTCAAAATGGTGTTTTGTGGAATGTTCGAAGAGCAATCATTTAGGGTAAAACTTTTTAGTCGTGGTAAAAATTCTTCTGGGAAAGTAACGGTGATATATCTCTAAGCTGTGCAGGTCGCACAGCGTTAAAATAAGCCTCGTGAAAGGAAAATGATTTCTAATAAAATTCAGCTACTTTTGAAGCCACGTTTTTGTAATTAATGCTTGCTGCGCACATCGGTTCAGTGCCTAATCATAAAGACCAATCATAACAAAGGAAATATTTTAAGGAGCCAATGAGACTCAAGTACACACAAACAAACTTCCTGAAACGTTTTCGCATCTGATTGGTTAAAATAACGGTGCAAGTTTTCGTGACCAATTAGAGCGCTGTTCATCAAAACCAAAGAAGTCCCGGATTACTTTCGAAACAACTGAAGATTGCTCTAATAAAGACCATTAGCAAAGCAAAATAATTTCCAACATAGAATTTGTGAAGGTAAACAGTACACTTAAAAAAGACAAGAAGCGCTCAAAACATCAATGAAAATTTTATTGACGTGTTCTAAAACAGGAACAATTTGAACTTCTTCATCTGGCTCAGAAAAATTAAAGCAGTAACATTCTACTTATCCCACTTTCAAAACTAATTACACATTATTTGCTTCTGTAGCTGTTTTACATCCCCTGTCTTGCAGTTAAGCAGCGACCTAACAACAAAGAAAGAGGTAAAAAAGTCAAAATTGAAAGCAGATTCTCCAGATAAAAAGGTTTCATTTACTGATCTAAAGTTTCCTTTACCTGAAAATTTTGACGCGATCTGTGGTCTCCTCAAATTGTCGAGCTTTATTGACAGCCACAGATATTACCTAGAAGTAGAGAAATAAATTGGAAATTTCTAAAAAAACATTGGAAAATAACACATGGGATGAAAGCTCGGTAGCTTTCACTTAAAAGGTTACACAAAGAAATTTTACCCACAGACTGAAAAGTTCAAAGTAACTAGTACAAATTGAATGTTTACACATTTCAGTTTCAATGGCAAACCTGAATATTTAAGCACAGCACAATAACTAAACATCCCTATAAGAACCTGGATTTCGCCAAAATTGGACGCAACTAAGATGTACTGATAGATGATTTACCTCATCCGGTATCCCAGCAAGCCTTGCTGCATTAAATCCGTAACTCTTTGGACAGGCGCCTTTCACGAACTTGTACAGGAATGTTATTGTTTCTTTACTTGGATCAGTCTCGTCTTCATTTTCAACCATGCACGCCTAAAATAAGAAAACCTGATTTTGGCAATTGTCATTTGAAAGTCTTAAAATAATCCAGTACTGCTTTGGTTTTCCGTTACCGCGCTCTGATTGGTAAAAAAAAAAAACTTACGTCCCCTACGTAACCAATCAGATACGTGAGAAAACCCACTCGGTAAAACGTGTCTAATTTAGAGTTGTCATTGGCTCCTTGCGATATGTTCCTCTCTACTGATTGGTCCGTGCCACTGATTCGGTTTTTATTTTAACTCTTTAACTCCCAATATCTCATTAGTAATTCTCCTTACTGTCTGCCATATAGTTCTTGTGATATTAGTTTTGAGAATTTGGTATTGGATCAACTAATAATCCCCTAGTTAAGATTTTTCTTTATTCTCATCTCTTATCTGCTTGATGTTGTATTGATATTGTAAGGAAAATTCTGTCTTGGTCACTCTCAAAATCGCGGATCACGTAAAATTGAAACACCTCGTCAATAGTATGGGAGGCTAATTTCCGATTTAGCAGCAAAGGACTAGGGATGAGAGGGTAGGGAAATAGAGCAAGCATAATAGCAGCCTTGTAAATGACCTCTCTTAAGTGTGAAGAGAAAAAGGGGAGGGTTGTCTCGGTTATCTTAAGTAACTCACCATATGCCCTAATCGCACATTCGGGTCAGCGGAGAACTCCTCGACCAGTGAGTGATAGTGTGTGGAAAACAGTGTCCTGCATTTGATGTGACGTGAAAGTTCACCAACCACTGCACAAGCAATGGCTGTACCGTCATATGTTGCAGTGCCACGACCGAGTTCATCCACCAGAACAAGGGAATGCCTCGTCGCATGTCGGAGAATGGTTGAAGTCTCGCTCAGTTCGACAAAGAAAGTACTCTCACCTGAATAGAAAAGGAAGAGAGTATAAATTTCAGTTTTCATAAATAAGATCACCAAAACGTTCAGACAAAGAAGGATCAGTTCAGGAATATATAAGCTGAATTATACACGCAATTTGATTGGTTCCTACTCATGATCTATTGGAGGACAGAGCATAGATGACGTCACCATGAACCACATGTTACTTTTGCTCTTTATTGTGTCTGCGCAGCAAAAGATCACAGATGACGTCAAAATGTGGTAAGAACATCAGTGACACACAGTGCCTCATGATTCTTTTTTGTTCTTACCACACCTTGACGTCATCTGTGATCTATTACTTAACAGACGCAAAGCAACATGGGATCGATTGGTTGAATAGTAACGACAGAGCAACAATTATCCTATTTTCTGTTGATATTTCTATTTGAAAACAAGGAGTGTTTTGTTATCTTAGCCAGGCTTCCAAAACATAGTACAACTTTGGGTTATGAAACTCAAGAAACAGTTTGTGTTCTTGGCTAAGATTGTTCGGTCAATATGCTTTGATGTTGGCAGCTTCAGAGTTGAGCGGGCAAGACTGGCTCGGGTAGCCGATCAGGTCGCAGGTTTTGCCTTATCTTGGCAGGGCCAGCCATAAAATGAAAGATGCAAATACATAGAAGGATACTTGTTCCTCCTTCCATATTCCCACAGCTATTCATAAGGTTTATCTACTATTAATTCGCAGCACCCAGTTGAGTGAAAAGAGGCCCCGTGACAGTACAATGGCCTGTGCCCGAGCACAGAACTACCAGTCTAAAATCCAATACAAAACATTTGTCTATCATATCTTGAGTTCTCATAAAGCTGCTTAGAAACAGCGTCCAGGCAAGAGCTAAAATGATAGTTTTTTACAACCTGACAGGATTCTGTCGTGCGCTCCCAGCCTAGTAAAGACTCGATCCACAGGAGAGAGGCGGCACTTCTCAGCTGGAACATAACAGCCCTAAAAGGTACGGATAGTTTTTAGTAAGGGGAGCCAAAGTTAACCCCCTAAGAGTGACTGGCTTCTAACTTCTGCTTAGAATATCTTCCTTGAATCAAATATAAAGAACATGAGAATAAAGGAATTGATCACCAAATTAAAAAGCTTTTGATTGTCAAAAAAATTCTCCTTGTCAGTGCCAAATGTTTCAACCTCGTTGTTTCAAATCCGAGTCAATCTTCTCCATCCTTTTGTGTCGATCAATTCGTAGCTTCAACATTCCCTCC